TTCTACTTTAATGTTTGTCACAGTCCGTTGTGGTCATTCAACAGCAGAGACCATGTCTTATTCATATTTCTGTTGTTAGTAGCTAGCACATGGCAGGCTACACTGGATAGGATTAATGTGAATGCTCGATGAATGAATGATTTGGGTAGTAGGGTGTCTTCTGCATAACACTTTCTGCACACCCCTAATTCAGTTAAAGTGAGGAATTTATAGTAGTAGCACAGCAGGTGGTAACTGTGAGCTGGATGACAGACCCAGCATCTGTAATGCCTGGCAGACAGCATATGTGGTAAGAGTCTTCTCACCCCAGCACTTGGCCCTTTGTCTTTTGATTTCCGGTTCCCTTCAGAGGCTGAGAGCCACCCTGTGGGGATGCAGCACGCACCCAGCAGGCCACTTGGCATAGATACCTTTAAAACTTCATGAGAAGTCAGCAAGGTGCTAAGTTAAGGGCAGGAAGGACACATGTTAAAAGCAAATCTTTAAAGATTCCCTTGATGTATACATTATCCTCCCCCACTTTGAGGAAAATTGAGTGTATAGGGCTGCCTAGATTCTGGATATAGGAGCATAACACCCAGGCATTAAAGAAGATTGGGACTTAAAAGCTGAAGAGAAGCCCAAAAGAGGAGTGATAATTATTTGAATGTAGACACAAAATGAAATTCTATTTAAAATGAGTAATTTTTTTTTAAGATATAAAATATTGCCTTTCAGTTTTGGACTTTTCAAGTTGAACTAAATTATTATGTTCTTCCTAATGAAAGATAGCTACTACAATTTTAATGCAAAAAGTGTTTTGTGTGCCTTCATTATTTAATATACTGAATTTTAATTTGAGCCACTATGGTACCATTTCCACAGCTTAAACAGATGAAGTACCAAGAATGCTGAATATGACATTGTATTTGCATGTTGCAGCTTGTAAAAGTCTGAAAAGCATGCATTTTTCCTTGAACTTCCTACTGAATTGTAGACTGTGAGGACTTGCAGTGGAACATAAGTATTTGAAAAAGTTTATGCGATCTCTGGAAAGTATGAAAAACCAAAGACAGCAATACTAAGTACAAGGACCTTTACATCTGAACTTAATTCTATCCATTTTTCAGCTCTTTCAGGTTAAATTACATATTAAATCAGATGTTTTATTTATATACTTAAAAATTTTTGTGAGGTTATAAATGTGTGGTATTAGTTTAATTTTGATTTTGGTTATTTGGAAAATGTTGAAGGTATTTCTCACGGTAAAACTTTTCAAAGACTAGTTTTACTGTCTCTTTTGTCTGTCTATGGTCAGGTTACTTGACTTTCTAAGTAAACATACTCTAATTTTATGAAGGGGGTAATAAAATGTCATATCTGGGTTATAAAGAAATGTAAAAAGAGCATTTTTCCAGTAAGAAAGATGCAGTAATATGCAGTGACTCACTATTTGTTGGGAGCACAACTATGTATCATAAAGTAGAAGACATGTTACATGCTTTCCAGGAATTCATTCGATCTGAAGAAATGAGTGGTATAATTGCCCTGACTGTCAAAATGTTCATTTTACATTTAAAAGTCAGTATTCAAGCATTTCTGAGCCTCAGCGCACACTGAGCAGAGAATTGCAGCTCTGTATGATTTATTTTCTTTCTTTTCCAACTCATTTTCTTGTTTTTCTTTGCTCTGGTTGTGGTTTTTACAAGTCCTTTATTGGAAGTTTTCTGTGAGATTATACTTCGTATATATTTTTTACTTATTTGGTTTTATGTATTCCCCTTCTTGTTTACCTCAAATACATGTAGTTCACTCTTTCTTGCTGCTTTTTTTGTTGTGCTTAGAAATATAGTCACCATTTTTGGAGGTCCCCCACATTTACTATTCTTTGTGTCTGTAGGATTGAGTGTATGATCTGGCCATATTGTTTACTAGAGAGCATCAGAATCTATCTTACCCCTTACTCAGCACATCATGAGCTCTGAGTAGATTGGATCAGTCAGAAAAGAAATATTACATAGAATAAAAAACCAAAACCAAATCTGTTGCTGTTGAGTCGATTCCAACTCATGGCAACCCTATAGGACAGTAGAACCGCTCCATAGTGTTTCTAAGAGCAGCCGGTGGATTCGAACTGCCGACCTTTTGGCTAGCAGCCAAGTTCTTAATCACTGCGCCACACAGAGTAGTATTAGCAAAATGTTAAATCGAAAGCAGCATTTAACTGAACAGGCGATCCATCGCCTTACTTTTATCTGCCTATACTTTTTATCTCAATTTACTTTTATCCTAAAAGTAGCTAGTATCCACAATAATTCTTGTAATCATGTTTGTTAAATCCTAAGAATCCTTTGATAAGGTGTCTTTTGTGTAAGTAGTGTTAATTTATTCCAGAAAATAAAATATATAATGTAAGGAATATTATGAAAAAAAATTATAGGAAAACCACCTTAGGGAGACCATTTGCCATCTGACTTTAAAAAAAAAAAATCCTTTAGTGGCCACTTGATCATTAATCATATAAAATCTAAGCACAGAAAATTCACTTTTAAGTTGATCTCCAAGACAGGATTTATTGTATAGATTTATTGTAAAGATTCTTTATGAATCTTAACTACAAATCATAGAAACAAATATTGTTCAAAACTCAGAGTAAGACTTGAGGCAAGGATCCTACACATACCCGATTTTTCCTTGTAGTGTTCTAGCCAATAGAGTAATAGCTTAAGGAACTGAAATGAATGAGAGTCCATGGTTCAACTTGATTATCAGAAAGGCTCAATTAGAGAATGGCTTTCTCCCACATGGATTTAAAGTTGCTTCACACGTTTGCAGCCAGAATAGCTGGCAATGACAAATCCTGCTCTCAGATATGTTGGGAGGTACCTTGTGGTGTGATTGCCGCAAGACAGGTGGCAGCGAACAAAAATGCAGGCTCTTTGAGGGATTTCAGGTCACAGAGGAAGTAGGGGAAGCAAATTCACTGGTACACACCTGGAGAACACCTGTGCACCACAAGATGGGTGTGTATTAGCATAACTTTTAACAAATTAAGCCATCCAGGGGAAGAAAGTGGCCCATTGAAGGGTTACGATTTCCCTTTCTTGGAGTGGAAAGAAAAGCAGTGACCTCTCTAACCATTTCAAGATTGTGAGAGTGTTGGTACAGATTTTCTTTCTCGTAGAAGTATTAGGATGGTGATTAATTGTTTGACCTTTATCAAGAACAAAAAAGATTTCAGATCACATTCATAAAAGCCCTGTGAGGAAAACAGCAGAAATCTTTCCTTCAAAAAGGACAGAAAGCTTGTTCTTTTCACAGATTAAAAGACTGAAACGTATACCAATTACCACCTATAGACTACAGTCTCTGAACAAATTACGTGACTGAGACTGTTCATTCAGATTGGAAACATTTCTGGTATTGTCTGAAAAGAATATTTTGTTGTATTTCTATTAGTAACAGTGGAATATGAAAGACAATTTCCTTGCTTTAATGCTTTCTACAGAGTTTCATGTAATCTATAGAAAGGATACCTTATCCCTTTGCATCGGATTATAAAATCTTAAGAAGAGAGGTATTTTTCTGTGTTCTGCACTTCTCCAAATGTACCTTGGGAATTTAATTTAAAAAATAATAAAATGAATTTATTAAAGATTATACATAAATATTTTAAAAATCATGGTTAAAATAAAAATGTTTATAGTAACAATGGAGTCCCTGTGTAGTGCAAAAGGTTAACTTACTTGGCTACTAACCAAAAGGTTAGAGGTTCCAGTCCACCTAGAAATGCCTCCGAAGAAAGACCTGGTGATCTACTTCCAAAAAATCAGTCATTGAAAACCCTGTAGAGCACAATTCTACTCTGACACACATTTGATCACCATGAGTCAGAACTGACTCAGCAGCAACTGATTAGGAACAATAGCCTATGTAGATTGAATTTTTTTTCATTTAAAAAATGTAATAAATGACATTTATCCAAACGCATGTATAACTTTTTACTTAAGTACTAAAATATAAACCCTGTGCCACTGTCTCTCACCAAATTCAGTTCTGTAGTTTTTCACTTTTTTCTCTAGAACTCATGAACCAACCAAAAAGAGTTTAAGAGTAGCAAATGCTAAAATAAATGATTTATGACCATTAAATAATGCAAACTATGTTCCAAGGAAGAGTTAAGAGGCTCCCTAGTTTGATAACTTCAGTGGTAAACTTTTGAAAAAGAAGTTTCCTAAAGTAGATTTCCCACCATGGAACTTGGAAGTGAGCAGAAGATCCTGATGAGTAACATAGCTCTTCTTGCCTGTGCATGCTCTTTGTCTTTGTATAAACAGAAGAGAAGGGAAACTCAATAAGAAGAGCTCCTATTTCTCTCTGCTCAGTTAACTCCCCACCCAGCTCCACTTGGAAATCTCAAAAGTTGCTCTTTGGCATTGTGGAGACCTCCTAAGAATCACATCCAAGTACTGATGACCAAAAGCATAGATTTTAAACTTTAAAATAAACCTCTTAGGAAAAAAACGAGTTTTGCTTACTACAGTTTGTTATACCCATTGCCATCGAGTCAATTCCAACTCATAGCAACTGCCATCGAGTTGATTCCAGTGCATAGCGACACTGTGGAGCAGAATAGAACTGATCCTCAGGGTTTCCAAGGCTGTGATCTTTACGGAAGCAGAATGCCACATCTGTCTCCTGTGGAGTGGCTAGTGGGTTCGAACCACCGACCTTTCGGTTAGCGGCCAAGCTCTTAACCACTGTGCCACCAGGGTTCTGTTATATGTGTATATATATGTAAATTTGTTGGGCTGAAACATAGCCATGATTGTGAGGATGGCACCGGACTGGGCAGCGTTTCGTTCTGTTGTACGTGGGGTCACTATGAGTCAGAACCAACTCAGTGGCACCTAACAACAACAACATGTAAATTTGTAATATATATAAATATGTAAATCTGTGAAATAATTGTAGTTAGATAAAAAGTCACTGACTACCTGAGTTTCTGTTTTAAACTATAGGAGCAACAGCTGCAGCCCGGAAGGAGGTGATAAGGAACAAGATCCGAGCAATAGGCAAAATGGCCAGGGTGTTCTCAGTTCTAAGGTGGGATCATTTTTCCACTGTGTCTTTTCTGTTTCATTTATTATGTCTCTTAATAAATATTTTAATACTTTAATCTGATAATTTAAATATTTTACTGGAAAATGTTTGCGTTTTCTTAATTATTTTTTTCCTTTAAATGGAATTGTTTGTTTCTCGCTGTTTTAGTCAAATTGAAATCTACTAAATTATTTCTGTAAAGAAAGCCTCTCTATAAATGGATTGCTTCACATTTTTCCCCGCTATTTGCTACAGGACTTTAATACATTTGTTTCACAATAGACTGAACATCTCATCAAACCGGAAAGCCATTGTAATCTTTTTTATTTTTCATTCTGGCTCCATGGTAAAAGATGAATTTATTAGGTGCATTCACTAGGTATGGTTAATGAACATTAACCATAAAGCTTATTCACACTAATCTCTATTATTCTAATAAATCACTGAGAGGGAAAAAATAGTTACTTAATGCTTTAATTCCCATGCAGTGGTTTATTTTTTAAATAGACCATGAATCGTGCTATTATTATTAAGCATGGATTTAGAAAACAAAAATTTTCTTGAAGGTAATTAACTACACATTTCTTTCCTTAAATTATGTCTTCCTAGATAATACAGAGTAACTATATTTTTCTTCAAAAAATTAAAATACAGTATGTTCATATGTAAAAATTATACAGTCATTTTACAGTCATACATGTTAACAAGGGTAAATAGGAATACCTTAGGGAAATTACATCTTTATATTGTATAATTTCATAGTGTGATTTTTGCCAAATTTTTGTCTCAACTCTTACTCATGGAGTAAGCTATACTGGCTGTTTTGATTTCTCCTTTTGCGATTTCTGTCTTGCTGGTAGGGTTGCTAAGGGGTAACTAAATGACTTGATACAGAAAGCAAGGAGCCATGAGAAGTATGAAAGCTTTAACATCTCAAAGACACCAAATCAAAGTAATATCTCTATGGTAGCCAGCCCAATCACAAAGTCGTGTTAAAGCTAAAAATAGAGAATTGTTACTCCCTACAGCCTAGTAAATGAGGCTACCTTTGTTCTTATGTTCTACATTCCTAACTAAACTGTCATGACTTGTTCACTAATTCATTCAATAAAAAAGTATAATTAAACTTAAAGCACTGATATTGTACCATAAAGAAATAAATAAAACAGTATAGGGGAATAACAAGTGGGAGATAATGCACATATTTTAGTACATAGTAAACAAAGAATTTCTGAGTGATGGCATCTGAACAAGTGGGACAATGACCTTCATGAAGATGTGGGGTAGGCTGTTCAAGGCAAGAGGATCCCTGGTGGAGCAGTGGTTAAAGTGCTCAGCTGCTAACCAAAAGGTCAGCGGTTTGAACCCACTAGCCACTCTGTGGGGGAAAAATGTAGCAGTCTGCCTCTGGAAAGATTTACAGCCTTGGAAACCCTATGGGGCAGGTCTACTCTGTCTTACTGAGTTGCTATGAGTCAAAATCAACTTGATGGCAATGGGCTTGGTATTTTTGGTTCAAGGCAAAAGGAATAGCAGGTGCAAAGACCCTTAGACAAAAACAAGGTCAGCATATTTGAGGACCAGCAAGAAGGCCTGTGTGGCTAGAAAAATGTCCTGTGGGGGCAGAGGACTATGTAAAGATCTTTAGCTCAGCCGGTACCTCTGCATGAACGCTTGTTTATTTATTGTGCCTCAGACTTAGTAATAAACACTCTAATTTCTTTTTCTTTCTGAAGTCTTTGCTAGGGGAAGTATAAACAGCTCCAGAATTTCCATGTGAAAGTACATTTAGGAAGAAAAAAGAAATCTTTCTTATATAAATAATTGTTTCCATGTCTGTGGGATTTCAAGCCACATGAAGGTGGTAGGAGCAATGCTATAGAATCATAGGATGGTATGTATGTCCTGAAATTGGAAAGTCCCTCCAGCCCCCTGCCTGTTAGCACACAAGATGTAATTATTCCCAGATGAGAAATGGGTCATTTGAACCCAGTCATGATCAGCGAATTGAGTAAGATTGCGTATACTGATAGGAAATTTCAAAAGATAATTTTGTTACTACTCGAGGAGGTATCCATATAAATATAAAAATGTGATATAAAGTATATGTTCCATGTATTTATTATACATTTGTAAAATTTGTGTGAGGATTCATGAATGCTATCAGAAAATATATATATATGTAAAATTGCTTTTCTATAATAAAAGCATCTGTAGCAAATTTGCAGAACACAGGAGGATCATATCCAGAGAAAAGAAAGATAAACTTAGTAATGATTGAACATTTAGTGTATACCATGTACTGAGTTACACAACCTGGTATCAATTTAGTATGACAAGCATATAAACAATAAACTAATGTAAGACAGTGAAATGTGTGCCAAGTACATGAACAAGCGCTCTGCTATGGAAGAGGACAGGAAGGAGTGAACAGGAAGTTCATGAAGAGATTGACATTGGAAGAGTGAGTGCATGAGAGATAAGCAGTATTCCTTTAGGTGGAGAATTATGGTGAAGACATTCCTAGAGGATTAGAAATAATCAGGAACACAGTCACTTGGTCTTAAAAGTAATTATCAATGACATTATTTTATTGGGTGCTTGCTAAGTGCCAGACTGTGCGCTTGCATATTATACACATTTTACGGTAATCCACACAGCAAATTTGCAACATCGCATTTACTCATTTTACGGTGAGGAAATGGAAACGAAGAGGGGCCAAGCAACTTGTCCAAAGTCACCCAACTGATGAGAATCTTACCTGAAAGTGAACTGAGTATTCTTCTAGTGAATGATAAGGCTGAAAATATACTTACGTCCAAACTCTTGCAGGCCTTAAGTGCCAGGGTAAAGTATTAAATTGTTTTTCTGTAGGCAGTGAGGAGTCATAAAATGATTTACACAGAATGGGAGGCATGCTCTAACCCAGGTTTAGAGATATATGTTTCAGTTGGAGCGCGTAGATTGGATAGCAAGATGGGTTATTGGTGACAGGAGGAACATTTAGGATGTTATTGAAATAATCCAAACAAAATATGCTGAACTAGGCTATAAGAGGAAAGATTCAAAGGAAGGGACAAATAGAAGGAATTTTTGAAGCTAAATTTTTAATACGTAGTGAATGAATGTGTACGGTGATGCAACTTTGTTAGATATACCTGCCCGACACATTCCTTACGTTTGAGTAATTTGCAACATTATAAAGGCACCAGAAAAGGGTCTTTAAGCAACCCTGTGCAGGGAGGGGGCAGGCATATTGCCTAGGATCCAGCAATCAGATCAATGCACGTAAGACTTCTGTTTTAGATGAGCGTTGTAAGGAAGCAGCAAGTGTTGAAGGTAATTCCTCTGTCAGGTGTGGAATCTGCAGGGCTAGCAATGGAAGGACTTCTGCTTCAGCATTTTGGGGGCTAACTGCACAGCTTTAGTGTGTCCTTAGGTATTGCTTAGGCAGCGTTTCTGGAGCAGATCCCGCAAAGTGGACAGGAACTGTTCCTAGCTGCAGAGTATCCAACTCTGGTTCTCGTTTCTGTGAGCTCTCTGATAGTCTTTAATACATCTCTCTACTGTTGAAATTAGCCAGAGTAGATTCTTCTGTTTGCTACAAGAACCCTGACCTATGCAGAGGGTGATGAGAGAGAGGAAATAATCCAAGAATATATCAGAGAGGTTCTAGCCTATGCAATTGATAATATGGTAATGTGTTTTCTAAGAAAGAAGAAGTATTTGTGCTTCTTATTTATCGAGAGGAGTAGGATAAGTTGAATTTGGCACATTTTCCCTCTGGAAACATAAGAAAACAGAACATGAGAAAATGTTCTGGCAGAACATTCGTGTAGAGGCAGTTAGAAATTCTGCCCCGGAGCTTCAGAGAGAGGTGGGGGCTAGAGATGCAGCTGTAGGGGGCTAGAGATGCAGATACGAGACTGAAGCAGCAGAAGTGGGTGGTCTTTCTAAGGGAGAGAGTGAAGGTGGGAGAAAGAAGCCAGAGAATCCTCTGGAACACAGCTTTAGAATAGAAATGTAATGCAAGCTACATATGTAATTTTACATTTTCTAGAGCTACCACAGTAAAAGGAGTAGAAAGAAGTAAGTGAAATTAATTTTAATAATATATTCTATTTTGCAGATATCCACAGTGTTATCATTTTAACATGTAATCAATATAAAACTTATTAAAGAGATATTTTACATTCTTCTTTTCATACTAAATATTAAAATCTGGTGTGTATTTCACACTAACAGCACATGTCAACTCAGACGAGCCATGTTTCAAGTGCTTAAGAGCTACATGTGGCTGGTGGCTACCATATTGGAAAGCATATGCCTAGGGGCAGATGAAAAAGAACAGTTAAAGTACTGAGAAGGCAATATCTGAGAAGAACAAGGAGGACCAGCAAATAAAGTGTCACAAAACCTAGGAGCAAAAAGTCTTTCAAGAAGGAAGACATGGTCATTAGTAGCAAATACCGCAGAGATGCCATTTTGAATGAGAACTCAGCAGAGATTGTTGGAAATGAGAAATGAGATTGCTACTGGAAGCCTTTGAGAGCATGGCTTCTGTGTGAGGCAGGAGTGGCAGACAGAATATAGGGAGGGAAGGAATATGGTTTAGAGAAAAAGGAAAAGGAGCAAGGAAGGAAGGAAAATGACCATATTCTGTGCTAAACTTTTTATATACAAGGTATTATTTAATCTTCAAATGATGGGGAACCTGAAGCTCAGAAAAGTTAAACAGCTTACTCTAAGCCATATGAGCAGGATTTTAGCCAAAGTGAGAATGATTCCAAAGCTGTGATTTTCCAAAACAGATCTTTCTACTGTTGCTACAAAATTAAAATTTTGAAGGTTAAAAAAAATTCCAAATTATGAACAAATGTTTTTAGGTATAAAAATAATAATTCCATTGATCTTGCCCAAGCATTATAGATTTTCATTTTTGTTTTGTTTGACCAGTCCCATGTTTAATATGAGACTTAATACCAAAATTTTATATAGAGGAATTGTAGTCATTCATGACATTAAAGCCTGATACTAAATTTGAATATAAAGGAAGAACGTGTTCATATCTTTTGAGATACTCCCAATTTTTCCAAAACCACATATTAGCATTTAAGATATTTATTCATGCGATCTATATGATGTGACAGCAGAAACCTCAAAAGGTGGAGATATCTGTGTGAAAGTAAACAGTGATTAATTCACCATCTCAAACCTAATATTTTAAAGTTAACCCTGCAGTAAAAGATACTGAAATCTAAAGTATTGATTAACATTGCCATTCTGTTTTCCTTTCACTCATTGTTTCAGTAAATATTGTTTGAAAGTTGACTGTGTAACAGATATTCTTCTAATCTTAGGCACTGTGGATACAGCAACAAAGAAGACAAATCCCTGTTCTCATGCAGCTTGCCTAGCTAGGGTGGAATGTGCTAGACAGTGAAGACCAAAAATATATAACTAAACAAATCAACTTTATAGTTTTTAGATGGTGATAAGTGCTTTGAGTAAAACAGAAAATAGACACGGGAGACAGGGAGCATAGAGGTGAACTTTATTTTAGATAGTGTCCTCACTTAGAAGGAGACATTTAAGAAGAGATTTGAAGGCAGAAAGGGAATGAGCTACACAAATACTGAGGGAAGAATGTGAGACGGAGGGAAAGCAAGTGCAGTGCCCTGAGCGGGGAGTGTGCTGAGTGTGTTGGAGGAAAGTGGACACTACAGGCAATGTGGTTTGAGAGATGGGTAAGAGTGAGAGAGTGTGGACCGGGGCTAGTTTTTATAGGCCCTTGTAGGACATTGTAAGGAGTTCCTGGGTTGTGCAGATAGTTAATGCACTCAGCTGCTAACCAAAAGGTGGAAGGTTCAAGTCCACCCACAGGTGCCTCAAAAGAAAGTCCTGGTGATCTATTTCTGAAAAATCAGCCATTGAAAACCTGGTGGAGCACAGTTCTACTCTGACCCACATGGGGTCACCATGAGTTGGAGTCAACTTGACAGCAACTGGTTTACTGGTTTAGGACCTTGAAAAGATTTTGCCTTTCACCCTTAATGAGATGGGAAGCTGTTAGAGAGTTTTGAATAGAGAAGTGGCAGGACCTGATAGAAGTATTAAAAGGCTCAACCTGGCTACTGTACTGAGAATGGATGTGGGAGGAAGGAGTGAAGAATGTGACAAAGGTGCAGCAAAGAGACCAGTTAAGATACTGCTGTAATAATTCAAGTAAGAGATGATGGTGGTGCATATGATCCAGCTATCCTGCTGCTTGGAATATATCCTAGAGAAATAAGAGCCGTCACACAAATAGATATATGCACACCCATGTTCATCGCAGCACTGTTCACAATAGCAAAAAGATGAAAACAACCTAGGTGCCCATCAACGGACAAATGGATAAACAAATTATGGTATATCCACACAATGGAATACTACGCAGCGATAAAGAACTATGAAGCCGTGAAACATAACATGGAGGAAGCTGGAACTCACTATGCTGAGTGAATTTAGTCAGTCACAGAAAGACAAATATTGTATAAGACCACTATTATAAGAACTCAAGAAAAGGTTTAAACACGAAATAAAACATTCTTTGATGGTTACAAGGGTGGGGAGAGAGGGTGACGGTTATTTACTAACTAGATAGTAGGTAAGAGTTATCTTAGGTGAAGGGAAGGACAGCACACACTACA